ATATACAGAGACAAGATCTTCATATACAGAGACAAGATCTTCATATACAGAGACAAGATCTTCATATACAGGCTAGACAAGATCTTCATATACAGAGACAAGATATTCATATACAGAGACAAGATCTTCATATACAGGCTAGACAAGATCTTCATATACAGGCTAGACAAGATCTTCATATACAGAGACAAGATCTTCATATACAGAGAAAAGATCTTCATATACAGGCTAGACAAGATCTTCATATACAGAGACAAGATCTTCATATACAGAGACAAGATCTTCATATACAGGCTAGACAAGATCTTCATATATAGGCTAGACAAGATCTTCATATATAGGCTAGACAAGGGGTAATCTACGTTCAAAGGTTCAAACAGGAATTCAATTGTTGATGGGAAGAAATGTATAGCTGTAGTGTGTATGTATGTATGATGTGGATGGGAACAATCATACACACACACGCACAAAAACGTATATATATATATATATATATATATATATATATATATATATATATCCTTTGAATAGCTGCTAGACAGGTCTGTCAGATAAAATAAAAATTTTTACTTTCGATTGAAGCTGTGGTGGGGTGATGGGGGGGCGGGATGCACATCAAAGTAGTCAGCTAATAAAAATATTTGAAGTAACCTCTTCCTGACGCCGATTCTTAAAATATTTTGTTAATCAATTACAAACGGTTTGCTTTCAATTAGCTTAATTGCCATAATTTTGCTCATTGACATGAAAGAGATAAAATAACATTGAGAAATCAGGGAACGTTTGAATAATTTTCTTTGAAGCTGTTTAAAAAACACGCATTCCAAATATTTCAACAGTAATTTTTTGTTCAGTTTTTAATGAAATACAGATTATGTAAATGTCCTAGCCTTCAGTAGCTCACTCGGTATAACAAAATCTGCCGGTGCTCATATAACCCTATAATCCTGTCGTCACCCCACTCCCCCCCCCCACACAACACACACAACACACACACTCCGCACATATGCCCATTCACTAAATTGCCACATATGTTTATATTCTTACACTCTGAACATGTTGTGATCGTTCATCACCCCACCCCAACCACGCCACATAACACCCCCAACCACGTCACATAACACCCCCCCCCCCCCACCCCACTTATAAGGTTGGTACCCACGTTTGTATTATCGCACCTGTAACATGCGGAAATTGTTCATCAGCACCTCCCCCCCCCCCCCCCCGTCACAGTCCATTAGCCACACCACTTCCGCTAATGACCACTTGCTGCTGGCCACTCGTTAGTCGTTTGATTGGCCTAATTAACGGCAGTTAGGTGATCAATGGCGACTAACTGGATGACGTCACGTGACTGCAACCTTTGATACCTTGGTCACGGCGGTACATGGGTTATAGGAACATGGGATATGGGGGGCTTCAAAGGGAGGCTTCAACGGGAGGCTTCCATTGGGGTGGGGGGAGGCTTCAATGGGAGGCTTTAATGGGAGGCTTCAAGGGGGGGGGGCTTCAATGGGATGCTTCATTTGGGGGGGGCCTTCAATGGGAGGCTTCAATTGGGGGGGGGGGGGGCTTCAATGGGATGCTTCATTTGGGGGGGCCTTCAATGGGAGGCTTCAATTGGGGGGGGGGGGGGGCTTCAATGGGAGGCTTCAATTGGGGGGGGGCTTCAATGGGAGGCTTCAATTGGGGGGGGGGCTTCAATGGGAGGCTTCAATTGGGGGGGGGCTTCAATGGGAGGCTTCAATTGGGGGGGGCTTCAATGGGAGGCTTCAATGGGAGGCTTCAATTGGGGGGGGGAGGGGCTTCAATGGGAGGCTTCAATTGGGGGGGGGGCTTCAATGGGGGGGGGGGGGCTTCAATGGGAGGCTTCAATTGGGGGGGGGGGCTTCAATGGGAGGCTTCATTTGGGGGGGGGCTTCAATGGGAGGCTTCAATTGGGGGGGGGGGCTTCAATGGGAGGCTTCAATTGGGGGGGGGCTTCAATGGGAGGCTTCATTTGGGGGGGGGCTTCAATGGGAGGCTTCAATGGGAGGCTTCAATTGGGGGGGGGGCTTCAATGGGAGGCTTCATTTGGGGGGGGGGCTTCAATGGGAGGCTTCAATGGGAGGCTTCAATGGGAGGCTTCAATTGGGGGGGGGGCTTCAATGGGAGGCTTCAATTGGGGGGGGGGGGCTTCAATGGGAGGCTTCATTTGGGGGGGGGGGCTTCAATGGGAGGCTTCAATGGGAGGCTTCAATGGGAGGCTTCAATGGGAGGCTTCAATGGGAGGCTTCAATGGGAGGCTTCAATGGGAGGCTTCAATGGGAGGCTTCAATTGGGGGGGGGGGGGCTTCAATGGGAGGCTTCAATTGGGGGGGGGCTTCAATGGGAGGCTTCAATTGGGGGGGGGGGGGCTTCAATGGGAGGCTTCAATTGGGGGGGGGGGCTTCAATGGGAGGCTTCCATTGGGGGGGGGGGAGGGCTTCAATGGGAGGCTTCAATTGGGGGGGGGCTTCAATGGGAGGCTTCAATGGGAGGCTTCAATTGGGGGGGGGGGAGGGGCTTCAATGGGAGGCTTCAATTGGGGGGGGGCTTCAATGGGGGGGGGGGCTTCAATGGGAGGCTTCAATTGGGGGGGGGGCTTCAATGGGAGGCTTCATTTGGGGGGGGGCTTCAATGGGAGGCTTCAATTGGGGGGGGGCTTCAATGGGAGGCTTCAATTGGGGGGGGGGCTTCAATGGGAGGCTTCATTTGGGGGGGGGGCTTCAATGGGAGGCTTCAATGGGAGGCTTCAATTGGGGGGGGGGGCTTCAATGGGAGGCTTCATTTGGGGGGGGGGGCTTCAATGGGAGGCTTCAATGGGAGGCTTCAATTGGGGGGGGGGGCTTCAATGGGAGGCTTCAATTGGGGGGGGGGGGCTTCAATGGGAGGCTTCATTTGGGGGGGGGGGGGGGGGGCTTCAATGGGAGGCTTCAATGGGAGGCTTCAATGGGAGGCTTCAATTGGGGGGGCTTCAATGGGAGGCTTCAATTGGGGGGGGGGGCTTCAATGGGAGGCTTCAATTGGGGGGGAGGGCTTCAATGGGAGGCTTCAATGGGAGGCTTCAATTGGGGGGGAGGGCTTCAATGGGAGGCTTCAATGGGGGGGGGCTTCAATGGGAGGCTTCAATTGGGGGGGGGGGCTTCAATGGGAGGCTTCAATTGGGGGGGGGGGCTTCAATGGGAGGCTTCAATTGGGGGGGGGGGGGGGCTTCAATGGGAGGCTTCAATTGGGGGCTTCAATGGGAGGCTTCCATTGGGGGGGAGGCTTCAATTGGGGTGGGGGGCTTCACCCCTAAACTGGTATCCGTCACAAATAAAATCCACTACCGTTGTGAATGAGTTAATATGTCTCTATAAAATAACTCATTAAAATACGTTGGTGAATTAAAGTCTGTCAGAGAAAAAGAGCATAAAGTACCACTTCCGGTAATGGAAATCGCTCTAAAGTTTATATAAACCTCTGCATGTGAACTTTTACTTTGTTTTTGGTACTCAGGATGGAGTTGCAATGTCTAGTTGTAAAAATCTCCTTTCTTCACGTTTGCACCTTCACGAAAAGTAGAACTACAACACAGCTCATTTCACAACAGATCTTCATTCCCCCCCCCCCCTTCTACTGCAGCCCTCTAAATGAGCTCTTAAGTCACTCTCTACCCCCCCTCCCCCCTTCTCCTACGTCATCCAGGTGACAAAGAATTTAAAAGTGCATGTTTGAAACACCTGAGCAGGCGTCACTAGACGCACGTGCATCCATCACCTTCTATCAAACACCCGATCTAGACGGTGCAGCAACTAATCAATTGACACGACATTATTTTCCTATTAGTGCCGTCCGACATCTCGCTAACCAAGTTTTTAATTTGCTAAACATCTTTTGTGCTGCCCTCTTGTAAACATTATCAAATCATCGGATGGGACTTGTATTACTAATGTCAGATTGACAGCAGACTTGTATTACTAATGTCATATTGACAGCAGACTTGTATTACTAATGTCACATGGACGACAGACTTGTATTACTAATGTCACATGTAAACAGACTTGTATTACTAATGTCAGATTGACAACAGACTTGTATTACTAATGTCACATGGAAAACAGACTTGTATTACTAATGTCACATGGAAAACAGACTTGTATTACTAATGCTATATTGACAGCAGACTTGTATTACTAATGTCACATGGAAAACAGACTTGTATTACTAATGTCACATGGAAAACAGACTTGTCTTACTAATGTCACATGGAAAACAGACTTGTATTACTAATGTCACATTTAAAACAGACTTGTATTACTAATGTCATATTGACAGCAGACTTGTATTACTAATGTCACATGGAAAACAGACTTGTATTACTAATGTCACATGGACAACAGACTTGTATTACGGCATCACATTGATGTCGGACTTGTTTTACAAAAGTCATATTGACAGGGAGTAATACTGTTGACATTTAAATGACTATTTTATAAATGTCACGTGTTATATACTGCTGTTGTACGTATTTTAAGATTGGCTCTCCAAATGTTACACGGATATATAATAACTGACATTTACGGGTGTTTTTTTTAACATAAGTGGTACAGGTGTACCTTTTTTTTTGATTATGTAAATTTTTTTTCCCTTATTCTTTTTTTTTACGTAAAAAAATGTAAAATGTAAAATTTTTGTTTGTTACGACCATTTTGAAGTTTATACTTTTATCAATGCTGCAAGACTTTAACACAGGGCGTCGATGGTTTATCAAAACCACTTAAGTTAAGCTTCAAAGTGTTTCAATTTATGGGAAAACAGTTGTTTTAATGACCTCGTATATCAAAGACTATTACATCCCTATATTAGACTGTAAGCCTTTGTCAAGAAAGCAAAACGTGCTGATGTTGCAAGCTTGCCCCAAAGAACTAAAAGAAATGTCTCGCAATGTGTGGGTATCAGAAATGTGGAGGGTTGTTTCCCTTGATATAAAAACTTACAGAATCATCTCCCACATCTCCTGTCCGAACTTTGACGTCACCAGGTCTTTGATCACACAGTGGATGTGTCCGTACTGAAACACATTAGATGACGTCATACTGGTCAATACAGAGGACATTTTTTATGACGTAACGTATACAGTGAACATATTAATGACGTAATATTGCATGCCAAAGTTTTCTACTCACCATCTTGTGCTTGTCTCCGTTAGGTTGTGATTAAAGATTAGCCGGAAGATAAACACACCGAGCTATTTATAGATGAAACAATAACATGTTCCGTGAGAGCGGATTCTGAAACTGTCAATATGATCTTTGGACGACCTAGAAAACACGGTTTGACATCCTGAGAGGAGAGAAACTTCACATCGCTGGGGGGGGGGGGGGGGGGGGTCTTACGTGTGGGAGGATGTTAAATGATGTCATTGTTAAAGCTCATTGTCACATACGTGATTATAAATACTGATGTCACATACGTGATTATAAATACTGATGTCGCATACGTGATTATAAATACTGATGTCAAATACGTGATTTTAGAAGCTGATGTCAAATACGTGATTATAAATACTGATGTCACATACGTGATTATAAATACTGATGTCAAATACGTGATTATAAATACTGATGTCAAATACGTGATTTTAGAAGCTGATGTCAAATACGTGATTATAAATACTGATGTCAAATACCTGATTTTTGAAGCTGATGTCAAATACGTGATTTTAGACGCTGATGTCAAATACGTGATTTTAGAAGCTGATGTCAAATACGTGATTTTAGACGCTGATGTCACATACGTGATTTTAGAAGCTGATGTCAAATACGTGATTTTAGAAGCTGATGTCAAATACGTGATTTTAGACGCTGATGTCACATACGTGATTATAAATACTAATGTCAATACTTGATTATAAATACTGATGTCAAATAAAATACGTGATAATAGAAACTAATGACAAATACGTGATTATAGAAGCTGATGTCAAATACGTGTTTATCAACTGATGTTATACACAAACATATTTAAAAAAAACGGTTGTTAATTACCAGATTATTAAAAAAAAATGAAATTACGAGATTAATAAACAGATGTTAAATACGTGTTTATAAAAAGTGACATGCGAAATGACCAACGGATGAAAAATACGAGAAAAAAAAAATTAAAGGTTGAAACGTAATGAATAACTGATGTAAAATACGAGAAAAAAAATATGATGCTAAAAACGAGATTACCTCGAGAGCAGGTCGGGAGTGCTTCGTGTGAGTGTCCACTGCGTCAGTGCTGTCGGGCAGATACTACGGGCATCACGTGACGACATGCAGGCCGCGACACGTGACTGTTGGTCGATCGCAGGTCTGAGAGGGGGGTGTACCGTAGGTGGGAGAGGTGTGGCAGAGGGGTGGGGTAGGTGTGGCTGGTGGGTGGGGTAGGTGTGGCAGGTGGGGTAGGTGTGGCTGATGGGGTAGGTGTGGCAGGTGGGGTAGGTGTGGCAGGTGGGGTAGGTGTGGCAGGTGGGGTAGGTGTGGCAGGTGGGGTAGGTGTGGCAGGTGGGGTAGATGTGGCAGGTGGGGTAGGTGTGGCAGGTGGGGTAGGTGTGGCAGGTGGGGTAGGTGTGGCAGGTGGGGTTGGTGTGGCAGGTAGGGTAGGTGTGGGTGGGGTAGGTGTGGCAGGTGGGGTAGGTGTGGCAGGTGGGGTAGGTGTGGCAGGTGGGGTAGGTGTGGCAGGTGGGGTAGATGTGGGTGGGGTAGGTGTGGCAGGTGGGGTAGGTGTGGCAGGTGGGGTAGGTGTGGCAGGTGGGGTAGGTGTGGCAGGTGGGGTAGGTGTGGCAGGTGGGGTAGGTGTGGCAGGTGGGGTAGGTGTGGCAGGTGGGGTTGGTGTGGCAGGTGGGGTAGGTGTGGGTGGGGTAGGTGTGGCAGGTGGGGTAGGTGTGGCAGGTGGGGTAGGTGTGGCAGGTGGGGTAGGTGTGGCAGGTGGGGTAGGTGTGGCAGGTGGGGTAGGTGTGGCAGGTGGGGTAGGTGTGGCAGGTGGGGTAGGTGTGGCAGGTGGGGTAGGTGTGGCAGGTGGGGTTGGTGTGGCAGGTGGGGTAGGTGTGGCAGGTGGGGTAGGTGTGGCAGGTGGGGTAGGTGTGGCAGGTGGGGTAGGTGTGGCAGGTGGGGTAGGTGTGGCAGGTGGGGTAGGTGTGGGTGGGGTAGGTGTGGCAGGTGGGGTAGGTGTGGCAGGTGGGGTAGGTGTGGCAGGTTGGGTAGGTGTGGCAGGTGGGGTAGGTGTGGCAGGTGGGGTAGGTGTGGCAGGTGGGGTAGGTGTGGCAGGTGGGGTAGGTGTGGCAGGTGGGGTAGGTGTGGCAGGTGGGGTAGGTGTGGCAGGTGGGGTAGGTGTGGGTGGGGTAGGTGTGGCAGGTGGGGTAGGTGTGGCATGTGGGGTAGGTGTGGGTGGGGTAGGTGTGGCAGAGGGGTGGGGTAGGTGTGGCAGGTGGGGTAGGTGTGGCAGGTGTGGCAGGTGTGGCAGGTGGGGTAGGTGTGGGTGGGGTAGGTGTGGGTGGGGTAGGTGTGGCAGGTGGGGTAGGTGTGGCAGGTGGGGTAGGTGTGGCAGGTGGGGTAGGTGTGGCAGGTGGGGTAGGTGTGGTAGGTGGGGTAGGTGTGGCAGGTGGAGTAGGTGTGGCAGGTGGGGTAGGTGTGGCAGATGGGGTAGGTGTGGCAGGTGGGGTAGGTGTGGCAGGATGGGTAGGTGTGGGTGGGGTAGGTGTGGCAGGTGGGGTAGGTGTGGCAGGTGGGGTAGGTGTGGCAGGATGGGTAGGTGTGGGTGGGGTAGGTGTGGCAGGTGGGGTAGGTGTGGCAGGTGGGGTAGGTGTGGCAGGTGGAGTAGGTGTGGCAGGTGGGGTAGGTGTGGCAGATGGGGTAGGTGTGGCAGGTGGGGTAGGTGTGGCAGGATGGGTAGGTGTGGGTGGGGTAGGTGTGGCAGGTGGGGTAGGTGTGTCAGGTGGGGTAGGTGTGGCAGGATGGGTAGGTGTGGCAGGTGGGGTAGGTGTTGCAGGTGGGGTAGGTGTGGCAGGATGGGTAGGTGTGGGTGGGGTAGGTGTGGCAGGTGGGGTAGGTGTGGCAGGTGGGGTAGGTGTGGCAGGTGGGGTAGGTGTGGCAGGTGGGGTAGGTGTGGCAGGTGGGGTAGGTGTGGCAGATGGGGTAGGTGTGGCAGGTGGGGTAGGTGTGGCAGGTGGAGTAGGTGTGGCAGGTGGGGTAGGTGTGGCAGGTGGGGTAGGTGTGGCAGGATGGGTAGGTGTGGGTGGGGTAGGTGTGGCAGGTGGGGTAGGTGTGGCAGGTGGAGTAGGTGTGGGTGGGGTAGGTGTGGCAGGTTGGGTAGGTGTGGCAGGTGGGGTAGGTGTGGCAGGTGGGGTAGGTGTGGCAGGTGGGGTAGGTGTGGCATGTGGGGTAGGTGTGGGTGGGGTAGGTGTGGCAGAGGGGTGGGGTAGGTGTGGCAGGTGGGGTAGGTGTGGCAGGTGGGGTAGGTGTGGCAGGTGGGGTAGGTGTGGCAGGTGGGGTAGGTGTGGGTGGGGTAGGTGTGGCAGGTGGGGTAGGTGTGGCAGGTGGGGTAGGTGTGGCAGGTGGGGTAGGTGTGGCAGGTGGGGTAGGTGTGGCAGGTGGGGTAGGTGTGGCAGGTGGGGTAGGTGTGGCAGGTGGAGTAGGTGTGGCAGGTGGGGTAGGTGTGGCAGATGGGGTAGGTGTGGCAGGTGGGGTAGGTGTGGCAGATGGGGTAGGTGTGGCAGGTGGGGTAGGTGTGGCAGGATGGGTAGGTGTGGGTGGGGTAGGTGTGGCAGGTGGGGTAGGTGTGGCAGGTGGGGTAGGTGTGGCAGGATGGGTAGGTGTGGGTGGGGTAGGTGTGGCAGGTGGGGTAGGTGTGGCAGGTGGAGTAGGTGTGGCAGGTGGGGTAGGTGTGGCAGATGGGGTAGGTGTGGCAGGTGGGGTAGGTGTGGCAGGATGGGTAGGTGTGGGTGGGGTAGGTGTGGCAGGTGGGGTAGGTGTGTCAGGTGGGGTAGGTGTGGCAGGATGGGTATGTGTGGCAGGTGGGGTAGGTGTGGCAGGTGGGGTAGGTGTGGCAGGATGGGTAGGTGTGGGTGGGGTAGGTGTGGCAGGTGGGGTAGGTGTGGCAGGTGGGGTAGGTGTGGCAGGTGGGGTAGGTGTGGCAGGTGGGGTAGGTGTGGCAGGTGGGGTAGGTGTGGCAGATGGGGTAGGTGTGGCAGGTGGGGTAGGTGTGGCAGGTGGAGTAGGTGTGGCAGGTGGGGTAGGTGTGGCAGGTGGGGTAGGTGTGGCAGGATGGGTAGGTGTGGGTGGGGTAGGTGTGGCAGGTGGGGTAGGTGTGGCAGGTGGAGTAGGTGTGGGTGGGGTAGGTGTGGCAGGTTGGGTAGGTGTGGCAGGTGGGGTAGGTGTGGCAGGTGGGGTAGGTGTGGCAGGTGGGGTAGGTGTGGCATGTGGGGTAGGTGTGGGTGGGGTAGGTGTGGCAGAGGGGTGGGGTAGGTGTGGCAGGTGGGGTAGGTGTGGCAGGTGGGGTAGGTGTGGCAGGTGGGGTAGGTGTGGCAGGTGGGGTAGGTGTGGCAGGTGGGGTAGGTGTGGGTGGGGTAGGTGTGGCAGGTGGGGTAGGTGTGGCAGGTGGGGTAGGTGTGGCAGGTGGGGTAGGTGTGGCAGGTGGGGTAGGTGTGGCAGGTGGGGTAGGTGTGGCAGGTGGGGTAGGTGTGGCAGGTGGAGTAGGTGTGGCAGGTGGGGTAGGTGTGGCAGATGGGGTAGGTGTGGCAGGTGGGGTAGGTGTGGCAGGATGGGTAGGTGTGGGTGGGGTAGGTGTGGCAGGTGGGGTAGGTGTGGCAGGTGGGGTAGGTGTGGCAGGATGGGTAGGTGTGGCAGGTGGGGTAGGTGTGGCAGGTGGGGTAGGTGTGGCAGGATGGGTAGGTGTGGGTGGGGTAGGTGTGGCAGGTGGGGTAGGTGTGGCAGGTGGGGTAGGTGTGGCAGGTGGGGTAGGTGTGGCAGGTGGGGTAGGTGTGGCAGATGGGGTAGGTGTGGCAGGTGGGGTAGGTGTGGCAGGTGGAGTAGGTGTGGCAGGTGGGGTAGGTGTGGCAGGTGGGGTAGGTGTGGCAGGATGGGTAGGTGTGGGTGGGGTAGGTGTGGCAGGTGGGGTAGGTGTGGCAGGTGGAGTAGGTGTGGGTGGGGTAGGTGTGGCAGGTTGGGTAGGTGTTGCAGGTGGGGTAGGTGTGGCAGGTGGGGTAGGTGTGGCAGGTGGAGTAGGTGTGGCAGGTGGGGTAGGTGTGGCAGGATGGGTAGGTGTGGGTGGGGTAGGTGTGGCAGGTGGAGTAGGTGTGGGTGGGGTAGGTGTGGCAGGTGGGGTAGGTGTGGCAGGTGGGGTAGGTGTAGGTTGGATAGGTGTGGCAGGTGGGGTAGGTGTGGCAGGTGGGGTAGGTGTGGCAGGTGGGGTAGGTGTGGCAGGTGGGGTAGGTGTGGCAGGTGGGGTAGGTGTGGCAGGTGGGGTAGGTGTGGCAGGTGGGGTAGGTGTGAGTGGTGGGTGGGGTAGGTGCTACTGTTTGGGTAGCAATGGGTGTGGATTACAGCAGGTAGAAGAGAGTAGAGTGTGAAATAAACTTGGTTGTGTGTGTGTACGTGTGGTAGGTGGACTAGGTGTGGGTGTGGTAGTTGTCGTGGTTGAATGTATTGAGCAGGTTGGGTGGAATTAAAAGATGAAGTAGATGGCGGGGTGGGTAGACCCAGAGAATATCAATACTTATCAAGTATTCGTCGACCCAGATTGTTAGGAAATAGCTCGTGTGAGGACAAACAAACAGTGCTGTGAGCAAGGCTGGTGGATTCAAGAAGTGCTCCACCAACGGAATGGTGGATTCAAGAAGTGCTCCACCAAAGCAGCGGTGGATTCAAGAATTGCTCCACCAAAGCAGCGGTGGATTCAAGAATTGCTCCACCAAAGTAGCGGTGGATTCAAGGAGTGCTCCACCAACGTAGCGGTGGATTCAAGAAGTGCTCCACCAACTTAGCGGTGGATTAAAGCGGCGCTCCACAAACATCGTGTGATAGACTAGTGTCAAGAAGTAAGTGATTCAAAACAATTGTTTAAAAACTTACAACTAAAAGAGACACGGTGAGACACTGTGATACACTATGAGACATTGTAAGACACTGTGTCATGTGCTCACAAAGCATGATACTTGCTTACACTACTGATGCTCCCCAACATGTGCGTGGACATCAGAGAGAGTTATAATGTTTTTGATTTCAATTCATCTTTGAGTTAGGGAGTTCGTTAAGAGGATCTTTATCAATGTCCCAGACAGCAGATCAATGTAGCCTGA